GTTTTTAGGGTAAGGATTTTAGAAAAAAGTATTGTCTTATAGTCGGAAAAATACGGTACATTACATTCTCATGAATTTGCTGGTACAAGAAAAAACATTTCTGCTTATTTTTTAATTAAAGGCAGAAATGAATATTTTTGTGCATTTCCAGTTTTAATTATGAGAGTTTTATTAAATGGCAGGGTTGGCTTAAGTGACAGGGATGAGAGTCCCTAAAAAAATCAAAATGGGGCATGATGCCTAAAATTTGGAAATTCTCGCTCAATACTCTATCCTGAGTTTTATCAAGTAGAGATTACTTACTGAAAGTCCCCACACTACATGAGATGGAGTGAAAGGGGACTTGGAGGCAAATGTTTTCTGCAGGAGCATCCTTCCTGTGGAATGTCCTCCCATCAGACATAAGAACTGCACCCTCACTCCTAGTATTCAGGAAGTTTTTGAGAACATGGCTTTTTAAATGTGTCTTGGGGGATTGAGGCAAGAATGGGAGATGTAGCTGAGTTGCGATAATCAGGCTGCTTGATATAATAACATATTGTAGTTTTTAATATAATGAGTATTTTGAATTTATGTTAAAAGTATTTATTGTTATTTGACAATTTTGAACTATTGTAATGTTCTATATATAATGTACATTTCCTTATATGTTGTTCAGAGTTGCACATTAGAAATAACACAGAAGTATCTGTAATCAGTCAATCAATGGAAGCTGGCAGTATTCTCACTGTTAAGCTCTTACTGATATGTAAAGTGAATAAATGGATCAAAACTACATGGGCAATATGTCATTGTATCAAATGTATTTATTTATCAAATTTGTACAGCTGCCCATCTACCAAAGGCACTCAGGATGGCAAACAAAAATAAAAGCAAACTAAATTCACAATCCATTACAGAAAAAAAGGTCAAAGTCAAGGTCCCTAAAAAATCTCAATAACAATATCAGAGCTCCATTAATGCCCTAGTCCCAGTGCCATGGGGAATAACCAGGTCTTCTTGGCCTTCTGGAAGGCCAGCAGCCTCAGGGCTGTCCATATCTCAGGGGGAAGGCTGTTTCACAAGACAGGTGCCATGATAGAGATGGCATGATTCCTAGGAATCGCCAAGTTATACAGTTTTACCCATGGGAACCAGAGCATGCCTACTCTGCCCAATCTGGTGGGATGGGCAGAAATCAACAGCCAAAGGTGGTCTTATAAGTAATCTGGTCCCATGCCAAGTAGGGCTTCAAAGTTGACAACCGGTATTTTGAATTGCACCCCAAAAGCCTGCTGGGAGCCACTGCAGCTCACATAGCAAAGGTATTACATGGGTATACTGTGGAGCACCCAATACCTCATGTGCCACTACATTCTAAATCAGTTGATGCTTCCAAATGCTGTTCAAGGGCAGCCCCATGTACAGCACATTACAATAGTCCAATGAGGAGGTGACTAAGGCATGAGTGACTATCAGCAGTGGCTCTTGATCTAGGAATGGGTGCAATTGGTGCACAAGATGTAATTGTGCAAAGGCTTTCCTGGCCACAGCTGGTAGTTGCTCCTCAAGCAGGAGCCCTGAGCCCAGGAGGTCTCCCAGATTGTACAACAACTCTGCCTGGGGTAATGTTACCCCATCCAGAATCAATGATGGAAAACCACTAGAATCAGGGGAGCCCTAAAACCCATGGCCATTTGGTCTTGTCAGGGTTGAGCCGAAGCCAGTTCTTCTCTATCCAGAACCACACAGCCTCCAGCACTGGGAAAGCATCTCTAATGCATTACTTGGGTAGCCCAGAGCAGAGATGTATACCTGAGTATCATCAGCATACTGATGATACTTAACTCTGTGTCAATAAATGACCTCACCCAACCCAGATTGGGAATAGACTGTACTGGAGGACATCTGTGTATGTCATAATTAAGAGTGGATATGGACTTCATGGCACATAATCAATCTATCAGTCGTAGTATCTGCCATTAGTATTGATATGTGGCCATTAGAAATTGTGTTAGGATATGCTTGGTCACCAAACTGCTATATATGAAACAGTGACATTTTATTCTGCTTACCAGCTCCAAAAATGTAGGACTTGTGGCTCTTTTCCTATGCCTTCTCCTGCACACCAGGTAACCAGGGGGGAAAGTATACCTGACATCACCACAAAGAATTGGGCTGACCTCTAGTAAAACAGCAGCAAAAATACATGCATACACACTGTGCTTATGGATCAAGAAGATCCTTTCTGCAAAGCAAGCTAGGCTGCTGAATATAATATGGATTTCCAATGCTCTGAGTAGCAATTCTACATGTAAATAACAATCCTCACATAGCATTCTATTGCTGTACATCAGTGTTGTCCAAACTTGGCCACTTTAAGATGAGTGGGCTTCCCCAC